GGGGGACTAGAGAATACACATATCAATGCATGTGCTGTACTTTTGAAGAGAAAACAGTATTGTGAAATTGAAAAAACGGTCTGTTGCATGATGAAGGTGTGGTGAAAGAGCAAATTATGAATGGAGGCAGACATGTTTTTTTTCATTCCTCACTCAACTGTATTTTTCTTGAATTTGAATCCTCAAAGTGGGTGAATTGTCTCTTTTGTATGAGCACAAATAGCAAAGATTCTTTGGTTGCTTTTTTCTTTCTATCACTTGAATTAAACATTTCATTTTGGATTGCTGGTTAAACTAAACAAGTAATAATAAAGACACCACCACACAATGGGAATTAACACTTTTTTTTTAACAATTTCATTGCCAGAATATCAGGAAAGAATATATAGAAAAGTATTTTAGTTTATATCGATATTAGAAGTTCTCTTGATTAATTATTTTTTAATTTAGCAGTAATAAGCTCTGTGGGTGCTTGCAGAATGTAAATCAATGTGACAGCTGTGGTGATTTTGGTGTTTTAACAGATATGTCAAGTGCCTGTAGCCCCCCTGCCATTCTCACTTTGTGTGTTCATCATGAAATTGCTAGTTTGTGTCAGGGTGGTGGTTTGGGGCCAGTTTATTTTGTGAGGCGCCACAGCGGCTAGCCAAACAAACAACTGATGTTCGATTGAGTCTTTGAGAGAGCAAACTCTCAGAGGGAGCAGCGGAAAACTTTGTTACAACTCTGCGCTCCCTTTCCCTGTCCGTCTGTCTCTGTCACTGCCATAATCAGGTTTTGTTCTTGACCAATGAGAGAGCAAGGGACGGAGAATGTTTACATTCAGTACGTATCCGCAGCAAAGTGTTGTTGCTGTGGGCAACAGCCGGTCCCTAAGGGGCTGCTCTGAATAGGAGGAAGAATACTCTGCTTGTCCACTTGTCTCTCAACGCTATTCACCAGTCTGTGTGTGTGTGTGTGTTTGATGGAATGAGCCTGTGTGTGTTTGCATGAATGTGTGTGTGTGTCGTGTAGAGATTATGAGATAGACAGAGTTGATGAAACCCAGCAGACAGACATGGCAAACATGCACCTCTCTGTTTGTTCTGTCTCCCTATCTCCCACTCTCTCCTCCCCTGCTACATCTGAATGCACTCAGGCTCCGTTTCAGCTGCTATTTATGCCCAGCGGATGGCTGAAGCATCCATGGGTAAAATTAATGCAAAACACCCAAACACAAAGAAGGGCTCAACAAGGCAAGAACTGCAGCAATTGAGATGAGGCACTTTTAGAATGGGCTGCATTTACTTGTGATTTAGACTATAACATTCACACAAATCACACAAAAAACTGATTTTCTAACTAATAAATGTATTTGCTTGTGATCTGTGATAGATATCTATCTAAATCAAATAGAAGTAAATGGGATTTAAAACACGAAAACAAATGAATAATTTATTTTAGGGCACATCAAGTTGAGAAGAACTTTATAAATGTAGTTGGGCAAAAGGGGTTTGAGATTGCAGGATGGCAAAATCATACACTATTTTTTTCTTTTAGGTAGAACATACAATTAATTGCTGGTTTTTCAGTGTAAGCTATTTTCATAAATCTTTGAAAGAAAGTTAAGCATTGAATCACACAACCTGGACAAATATATATGAGATATGCTTTTTTTGGGTTTTGGGTGAACGAACACCACGATTGGAATTACATTTGCACGACAGCAGTTTTTTAACAGCTGAGCTCAATCTCAAAGGATCCCCAGTGATTAAAAGCCGCTAGAGAAACAGAGACATGCCCAGAGCGCTTGAAGTCAGGCTCTTTTTACTCCCCGAGGATTACTTAAGTGTGTGTATGTGTGTGTAAATATGTGTCTGCATGCTTGCGTGTGTTTCTCCTGGTGCTGTAAGACCCCTCGTGCCCTCTCCACCACGGTGCAGCTGTCATCCAATCACAGGGGGTAAAGAGCTAATCACATGACCCCAGAATAGTCTTTGCTGTGTCACTTGATGCCGACTGTATGTGTGTCGCTATTGCCATGACATGGGTATGCAAACCCATAAAAGTGAGGTGTTCTCACTCAGTCACTGCTGCTCTAACCCCCCCATCCAACAAGTGACATTGATTTCAGTTCTTAAATCTATTTTGGTGAATTTGCATGTAGCTCTGGGATAGTTATAATAACTTATTTGAATAATTGCCAAGTAAATTGCCTTGACATGGGTCACTTGGAGGGTCATTTGGCAGCAGCTGTGATAGTAAAAGTGGTTAAGACAAACACCACACACACACACACACACACACACACACACACACACACACACACACACACACACACACACACACACACACACACACACACACAGTGAAAGTCACAGATACCTTTCTCTTACTGTTACTCCCAGTTTGTGTGTTTATGTGTGTGTGTGTGTGTGTGTGTGTGTGTGTGTGTGTGTGTGTGTGTGTGTGTGTGTGTGTGTGTGTGTGTGTCAGGATGCCATCATATTGACATCAGCCTTTTTACTTGGGAAGTTTTAAACACACACACACACACACACACACACACACACACACACACACACACACACACACACACACACACACACACACACACACACACGCACATACACACACACACGTGCTCTCCACTTTATTAGCCATCGTACAGAGGAAATACAGTGGATCCTGAGATTGGGGGCTCATTATCACCTGTCTAACAGGGAAGTGAAAAGGAGCTCAGGGATGAATTAGGTGGAGGGCTATTTTGGCTCCCATGAAGCAGGATAATGTCAAACCAAGGTTAGTGGAATAGACACTCTGTAACAATGAAAGATTATATATAGACATATATGGAAAGGCCTCGTCTTACAGGTTAAAAATGACATGTGTATAATGTCACTTATATTAGGCCCCCATTTGATAAACGACCATATGTAATACAATATATAACAACCTCTATCGGGAATAGCAGCACTTGTTGTTGTTTCTTACATTACATATTACCGAAAAAAGGGTTTCTTAAAGTTAATAGCTTTTAATTCTTGTGGATTGCTCCATTTGATTTCCAGTTTTGTAAAATGCGCTTATGGCACTTGACATTTTTATTTTGTGTGTTTATTAATTACAATGCATAACGTATTCCTGGTGTACCCATAACTGCATCAAATAACCTTTGTTATTGGAAGGGGTTGAAGGTTCTAGTTTCTCATTCTTTAAGGTTTTAGTTCTACCGTATGTATTTCTGACCAAGTGAATGTGAACAGTAGCAATTAAATGGAGACGGTTGTTGATCATACATTTTTCTTTAGCCACAAATGTGGCTTGTTTGTCAGGAAGGCAATTTTGGTCAGCAACCACTTTTGTCCCGACTGAAAACATGCAATCCAAATGTAATCTAGGACTTTTAATCCAAGATCCTCATTAGGTTCATCCTTAACTCCAGTTGATTTAAATGTAACATCACCCAAAAAAAAGGTTAATCATTAAACTGACAAGAAAGGTGCAAACTTTTCTAACTTTTCTTTCAGTTATTGTATGTTCATGACTTCATCATCCAGGTTTTTCACTAGTGTGCATGGTAAAATAAAATGCATATTTGTTTCACTCCCTTTCTCTCTATGTATTTTATCTTTTTCCAGAGACCTTTGAGTCCCTCGTGTCCTTCACATCCAACCTGACCAGCACTCTGTTCGACAGCGCTTACTCTGCTCTGGCGTCCGACTGTCGCCCCATTGTGTTTCAGCTGTTCAGCGACATCAACCGACACCTTTCTGGGGACTCATCCTCATTGGACACCGCTGTGCGTCGGTTCTACAATGATCTTTTCCCATTGGTCTACCGTCGCCTGCTGAACCCTGGGATCGGCCACATGTCACCCAAGTCCCATTCCACCCCCTCCACCAATCAGGATGACTGTCTGCGAATGACGCGGCAGGATGTAAGCCCGTTCGGACCACACCCTCGCCTCCTGGTCAGCGGCCTGTCCCGTGCGCTGGGGGCGGGCCGGGCACTGAGCCGACTGCTGAGACTGGCCGGAGAGGTTGTCAACGCAACCGAGAAGTTGACTTTATCCAGAGAATGTGGGCGGGGCTTAGTGAGGATGCACTACTGCTCCCACTGCAGAGGGATGACTCTGATACGGCCCTGTACCGGACTGTGTGTCAACATCATGAGAGGATGTCTGGTAGGTGTTTGAATGTGGTGTGTGTGTGTGTGTCTGTGTGTGTGTGTGTGTGTGTGTGTGTGTGTGTGTGTGTGTGTGTGTGTGTGTGTGTGTGTGTGTGTGTGTGTGTGTGTGTGTGTATGCTGGAGGACAATTTAATATAAAATGCGATAATATGGAGCTAGAGGAAGAAAGGAAATTAGCTTACAAACAGACAGTCACACTGGTGCTGTCCAAGGTAAAACAAATACACCTATACCAACATCTATCAATGGTTTTACTGGAAGTTATATGCAATTAAGCCTATATCCTAAACTGTGGAACATTTCCTTGCTTTTAACTTACTCTTAAACCTCCTGCACCTTCCAAAGTACAACCTATTTTAGATATATGTTTGCTTCTTTAAGTTAATTGTAATGCAATTCCAGATTCAGTGGTTAGTAAATGTTCATCATCTGTTTTGTTAAGTATTTTTATTTCATAGTAGTGTACAATAACAGGCACAATTTGTTGTATATTTTAGTGTCACAGTACACTCTCTATATTCCCCACTCCCTCCCTCCTCTACCCGCACATGCCCATATAGGCAAATACAAAAAAAAAATGTCTAGTAACAATTAAGATAATTTAAATAAATGCTCATCTGAAGTTATTATTCTAGATAATTAGTGTGCATAATGTAGCAGCCTCTGGATAGTAAAACAACACCTTTCTTAGTAATGCTCCCATATCTCACATTTCTGAATCACTCATTCACGGCATTTTATAAATCAATAAATCATTTCCTCATTAAGTTTTAGACAAATACCAAGAGCATTGCCAAGAGAACTGGCAGTGTCTTCTGTTTATCTTACTTGGCTGCTTCGAGTTTTGCTGGACAGCTTTAACAGCGCCCACAATAGACAGACTTGGAAGATGGCGCTGTACATCCCGCATGAGAGTTTTCTTGGATGCAAAGAAAGCGTGGTGGTAAAACAACTTCCCATCATGTTTATCCTCTTCAGTGAAGTCAGAGAAAGGCAGACGGAGAAGTAGGAACAGCCTTGCCGTGACAGAAGGCATCTCGGCTTATGACTGCATGTCGTCTTGATCATTGGCCTATTTCCTTCTATCTAATTGTTTTTCTTATTATAGCAAAGTGTCACAATCTGTGACTTGTATATTGATTTCTGAGCATCACAGAACTTTTAAGCCAATTTACCAAACTAAACTTGTTCTCTAACTCCTTGTCTCTTTCCACATTTGCCACCTCTATTTTCCCTTTATCCTCCCCCTCTCTTCACTATTATCATATCTCCTCTTTCCTTGTCCTTTCTTTTCTATTCTAGGTGGGGGTATCAGAACTTGGCGCCCCCTGGGGGAGTTTGGTGGTGATGCTCCAACGGTTAGCTGCCATGTTAGCAACAAGCAGCAACCACAACAGCATGGAGTTAGCGCTGTTAGCAGTCCGAAATCATGTGAACGATGCTATACTGCACGCTCAGCTGCACGGGCCGCGCGTCACAGCCACAGTAAGCAAGGGGAGGGTGGGATGGGAGGGTAATATGTCCAACTGTGGTTAACTTACACTTGTTACATAAACACCAACTCTGGATATTGATGGAAGTCCATTGGAAAAGGTTTGAATGCTAAAGAAATTGTGCCCCAAAAAATGCCCCTGTAAATTACAATTCAAATAATGAGAAACAGATTGCTAAACCATACTCATATATTCCAATAATATAGTCATTTGAATTTTGGACAGAGGGAGGAAGGTTTTTCTTTCAGCCTGGCAGTTGGGTCTCTTTACAAAAGCCTTATACCTCGATGGGCTAAAAACAGCCTAATTCTTCAGAGAATCTGGGGTTCCCCTCAGTCTGTGTGTGTGCGTTTATGTATGTGAGTGTGAATACAGATCCAGTGCCAGACAAAGGCTCTGGTTGGCGGGACAACCAATACCCAGAATGCAGCTTGGTTCTGAGTGATGAGAACGTTTCTGTGGCTAATCTCTGGACAAACAGACGACACACAAATAAATGCATTTATGCACACTCTGTTGGAGGAGGAAATAGAGTAGCCATCCAACTTTGAGAGAACATTGTGGACTTAGTAGAGTAGATTCCTGAGAGGTAAACAAACATACACAGGCATAATCACACTGCTAATTGTGGCTAATACGAAAATACCACTTAATTGAATATTTGATCAAGCTTCTTATTCATTAGACACTTCATTAAAGAGAAACCCCAAACCTTTAACGATGTTTGTGCAGCATCTAAAGTTGAGAGAGGAATTCCTAGACAGCAGTAATTTCTGTAAATAAGTAAAAACACCGTTGATAACATTGCATTTTATCGGCCTCTGTAATACATTATGTGTTGTGCTCTACTTTGTTGGATTTTTAAGGTACATTTGTTAATTATATGCTACTGGATTAGGCATTACCAACAAGGGTTACTTTAACAATATCCAGAGGATTAGATGGGAAGATTGTGGGGTGCTGCTACTGTGAAATAAAATGAATTAGTCAAGTAGGCTATATATAAAATAATTATGATTTTTCGTCACAATGACTAAACTACAAAACTATTACCAGAGCCAGTTGAACACCCTAACACTTTATTCTGCATTTGATAGTAAGGGAAAACTCCAACTTTATTAAACCTGCTGAAAGAAATCTATGCAGCAATCAAAATGTATTTTATTCAGTGGTGTTAAGTAACTAAGTACATTTACTCAAGTACTGTACTTAAGTAGCATTTTGAGGTAGCCTACTTTACTTGAGTATTTCCATTTTTTGCTGCTTTGTACTTCTACTCTACACTACAATTCAGAGGTAAATTGTGTGCTTTTTCTCCACTACATTTATGAAATACCTTTAGTTACTTTACAGATTTGGATTAATAATGTGAAAACTAAACAACACTTAGTTTATATGATGCTGTGCACATCATTTTTGAATTCTTCTGAAAAGCAGCTAAAACACAATCTCTTCTTCAGGTAGAGAAGGTATGTGGACCCCAGGCAGCTGGTCCCATAATGCCAAAGGCAAATCCCACCAACTGGCAGCACACAGCCTCTGTGAGCCCTGCTACATCAGTGACGTCAGAGAGGTCAGAGGTCACATCGCCACCCTTAGCAGGTCCTGCTTCTCATCGTCTGCCGCCACAATCCAGGAGGTGAGTCACGTACATCTGATGAAATGTCAGAGTAAGAATATCTGGAGCGAGTTAGAATTAATCTCCTGAAGGTGAATTCAACTTTGGAAGAGGAAAAAGTGCCTGCTATTTTTTTTTCATATGACCTTAAATCGTAGCAGAAGGAAATCAACATTGTTGTGTTCTTGTTTGTGTTTGTGTATTCCAACAGGCCATTTCCTCTTAAAGGCTCCAGAGGAGACAAGAGTCGCAGCCTGAAAAAACTGTCTAGGTAAATACATCCACATTAGCTGCAATTACATTTGAATTATTATCGAAATACTCTTTTTCTTAACTTGGGCATGTTTTTTGCAATAGTCATTATCTCCATTCTGTCTATTTATATGACTTATTATGTTAAAATTACCCTCTAGAATTAAGATATGAAATGAACAATTATTTACAGCGTTGTTAGAATGATTTAGTTTTAGTGCAAATAAAGTGCAAAGAGGCTATTGTGACTAAACTTTTAATTATCTCTATCTTTAGTGGCATTTGAATTATACAATATCTTAATCATTTTGTTTCTCCCTAAAGGATAGATCCATATCCTAGAGGTAGGACTTTAACAAAATAAAACCTGGGATCAGAAAACCCATTAAATGAAAACCTTCATATCAGATCTTCATTATACAGTCTTTATCAAAAGTGCTGTGAGCATGTTTTCCTTCCTCTTGTTGCTCTCAGTAACTTGGTAACTAATCTTTCAGGAGGGATTTCAGAGGGTACTGGACATGACAAGTCTGAATTCAAACACATCATGGCAAATGGTACAGTGGAATCACTAACCACCAACAAACCATGCAATAAACTGTGCTTTACTGTCTATTTCTCTCTTTAAGGGAGTTTGAGGGCTCCATCCAGCGGTACCAGTGGTTTTTCTCCGAGCTACCAGAGATGCTTTGTGAAAGTGAGATGGAGGTTGAGCAGCACACATGCTGGAGTGGCCAAGACGTTGTAGAAAGGTGTGTTGCATTACATTCCTTTATTAAAAATAATTTTTGAAAATTGCCAGTAACGACGTACCAAACACCAGGCATGTAAAGTCGTTGTTCCAACATCACATGGGATACTTTATGACTACTCAAGAAAGCCCCATATATTGCATTTCATCTTCATATAGCTCCGTATTTGAGAGAATTCCATTTCATTTTAGATAAAATATGCTGGAGTAAAAAAGCTCAAGCAGAACAGGAAAGACAAAAGAAATATGTGCAGAAAGGTTTTGATGGTTTTTGATGTAAAATAAAATGGATGTTGACTTAAAGGCAAAATGAAAAATCCACTAGTTCATGTATTTTCTACATAAACATGTTTCCCCTCTGTGTAAAGAGATTCTGAAAGTTTCAGGAAAAAAGATTAGCTCACTTTTTGTCCTGATCCATCTTTATAAAATCTGAAAATGAGCTGATCAGATTTTGGCCACTTTGTGATGTCATAACGATTTTTTGGCTTGTGTAACCATTGGCCCAGCGGTTCCCAACCTGTGGGCCGCAGCCCCCTAGTGGTCCGCGAAGGCATTGCGAGTACACGACAATAACATAATAGGAGATGACATTCCCATCTCAAACAACAACAAAAGACAAACAGAAGAAATAAAGATACAGTCAGTAGGATCACTTCAACATTTCACAAACAAAAATAGGTTGACAACCAAATACCACCAAAAACACAACATGGCAAGCATATTTATTGTTCCTTTAATCCCACTCTTCAAAAGAGCTAATTATTTCCCATTTCATGGCGTGTTGAGCCACCACTTGATTTTCCAAAAGAAATTGTATTTTTAATCTACTCTTCAAACACCTTACATTAAGATTACTCCTTGATTGACATTTAAAAATATGTATTTTAGCCAGAAGAATAGTTGTATTTATTAACTGTGTGCGGTCTTCATCTAAAAGACCAAATCAGATATTAAAGGTTGTAAATGTAAATTCAATATTTGCCGCCAAATAATTTGCAAAACATTATGATTTGTGTGGAAACATTTTCATTATTACGATTTATTTTTATTTTAACCTCTCTTCCTTTCTCTTTCTTGATCCTCCTTAACAACGGTCATTACAGTCCTTGACAGCGGTCTGTTCTACTGGATTTACAACGTGTCACATGTTCTGAATTGACCAATCAGAACTTTATTTAGCCTCCGTATTGTTTATGGTTGAATGTGGGCCGCAAATATTTTTATAATTCTTAAGTGGGCCCTGGGTTGAAAAAGGTTGGGAACTGCTGCATTAGCCAATAACCAACCAAGATAACCCCCCCCCCACACCTTATCCCCTGAATCTCCTCCTAGAGCACCATTGTGTTCTTTTTAACCAAATATCTCTCAGTGGGGCGTGGGGAGTCCTTATTTTCATCTAAAGTAACAGACAGAGAATCAGCACTTTTGAAACAGAGCGGAAACAGAGGGGTTAATGGGATGCTACAATGCATGATCTGTTTGGTATTTCGAGCCAAACACTTCAGAGACATGTTTGTATATCTGTGACCTATAATATATTGATGAAAAACAGTATAATAGGGGACCTTTAAGTTTAAGGCCTGGGACACACTTAGGCTGACATTTAAGGCATGTGCAGGATTCAGGAGTCCATGATAATCCAAGATGGTTAATTTGTTAATTTGCTCTCTGTACTGCCACCTGCCCAAGCTTCAGTATACTGCAGGAATATTGATGTACAATAGATTAAATGTTGTGACTATAACACGAAATGCCGTGAGACTGGGTTGGATATACAATAGGGGGTATATTTGTCCCAGTGTGCTATAGTCACAGTTTCAGTGCAACCACCCAGCAGGACTGTGAGACAGATGTTAACAGCCACCTTAGATTGTATTTCTACTCAACTGCTCCACTGGTGTAAATCATGAAGTCTGAAATCAAATTGAAATCTCCAAATTGCTTTTGAGAAGCTCATGTAACACTGGTGGAATTTGATTTTTCTACATTTTGCTGGTATTGAACAACAGTAATGAGTTATTCACTTTCCTAATCATCCATGACCGTGGCTAATTTTTAATCTGAATGATTTTTGATTTTACAAAAGTGAGGCATATGAGTGTGCGTGTGTGTGTGTGTGTGTGTGTGTGTGTGTGTGTGTGTGTGTGTGTTTGTGTGTTTGTGCGTGTTTATAGTTGCCAGGCTGGGGGTGGGGGGGTGACAGGGTTGTGAAGGTTAGAGAGTTTGTTTCCAGAGTCTTTCTCATGGTGATTACATTGGCAGCTTAAACTGGTAACAAGACAAATGGGCACACATAAATGCACACACCACACACACACACACACACACACACACACACACACACACACACGCACGCACGCACAGACACACACACACACACACACACACACACACACACACACACACACCGTGCTCTGTCTCCATCAGTGCTTCAGTCATGGCTAGTAAACCTCAGATTTAATGGCTCTGCTATGTTTTTAGCTTCTGATAATATGGAGACATGGAGCAGGACCCCATTAAGATATATTGTCTAATTCAAACGTAATTTAAGGATGAAATTGTACATTGTGTATAAAAAACTAAACTCATTACGGTAATACATGTTGTAATGTATCATCTGATAGTGTTGCTCATCCTAAAATAACAGTATAGTATAATATGTTTCAATTGGCATCGGGAGGTATCACTGATTGTGATTACAACAATAAACCCACATAGAAAAGTGTGCAGTTTAGCTAATAGTCTTACAGAAGCCTTTTTACGAGAATGTCTTTGACATGTCATAGCAGGAAAGCACACGTCTTACTAAAAACACTACCAAGGGTTGTGCTGTGCTCCAGTTAAAGTGACATTCAATCAGCATTCACAAGCTTTGAATCATATGAAGCCAGGGCCCAGGTTCTTACAGCGATATTATCGAGAATGGGTGTGTAATTGTGGACTACATTGTGAATTACCTTTTATTGTCAAATGAAAACATTTATTATACAAGGGATGTTTTGGCATTAAAAGAGATAATGTATTATAGCTTACAAAACAAGTGGCTTGATGTGCCAGATCAGGCAGAAGTCAGTTTCTCTGAACAAGACTGAGAGTGAAATATTTGGAAATCCTCAGACCGCCTCTATCTGGGAAATGTGTTTTAGAGTTTTATCTCTTGGAAGGGAAGAGATAGTTAGACTTGGTCGTGTTGGAGTTTGTCCAGTCTTTGCCTCTCTGACCTCTTTACATCTTCTTCTTTCTGACATCTATCCATCCATCTTTCCATTAATTAATTCAGCCACCCATTCATTCATTCGTGTAATTGTGGACTACATTGTGAATTACCTTTTATTGTCAAATGAAAACATTTATTATACAAGGGATGTTTTGGCATTAAAAGAGATAATGTATTATAGCTTACNCATCTCCTCCACCCTCTGACCCACTTCACTTACAAATGTCGAAGTTGGTGTGAGTGTGTGTGAGCAGGGCCGGCTCTAGACAATTTGCTGCCCTATGCGGGATTTTAGCTCTCAAGTTTTAAACAATATTTTTGGTTACTGTCCTAAAGTATACATTGAAATGATTTCAAACCTGTTTATCCCTATAATTATAAAGGAGTGCCTTGGAAATATGTGTTTACATAAATTGTGATCAAAACGTTTGAGACCCACTGAGATAACTTAGACTAAAGTTAACTATCTAAACACTCAGAGTCCTTTACCTCACTGAGCTGTAGTTATCAGCCTCTCAGTCTGACTGGAGAGGACTCTCCCTCCACCTTGTTGTAGAAACATCTTCTTCTTCCGTTAGAGCAGCTAGCACCAGATGCTAATAACAACAGCGCCGGTACCGGTGCGCCCTCCCTCTCTCCCTCTCTCCCTCTCTCCCTCTCTCCCTCTCTCCCTCTCTCCCTCACTCGCTCCCATGCTCACTCGCACTTTGGCTGTGAGTTGCGGGTGCCTGATAAGCCAGGCAACATCCCCCATTTTCATCACTTACAGCGCCCATCGTACAGGGCAAATGAAGAGTGTAACCGGGATGAAAAGGGTGTTACATTTACTTAATTATGAAATTATGAAATAATTATTGTTACATCAAGGCCAAAAATTAGGATGATTAGTATTTTTTTCCCTCCCAGAGCTGCCAGCGCAGCGCCTCCCCAGATCTGGCGCCCTAGGCGAACATCTATAACGCCAGTGCTACGGGCCGGCCCTGTGAGTGAGAACATAGAGATAGGTGGCAAAACACACATAATGATGAGAAAGTCTGAGAGTGCATGATAAAGGGGAGGAGAGCAGATTATCAGCGCTTTTCTTGATTATACTGATACGAGCTAGATGATGAAGATGGGTCAGCAGAGCAGTAGGCCTTGTTTCCTAAAGAGTACCAAAGTCAAGCTAACCCCAATAAAAACTGTAGTTGGAACAGTTATTTATACGGGATCAGCAGAATGCCAAAACAAACACGCAATCCATTTTAAGGTTAGAGAACATACAATGCCTTTTAAATTTAAGAAATGTTATGTAAAAATCTCAGAATACAACTACCAGTGATTGACCTAATGACCTAAAAAAAGTAGAGAACTACAAGTAAACACTGAAATCGTCTTCCAAGCTACGCCGAACATACACTGAGATCATGGCACAGGTATAACTCAAATAGAACCCTTAAAATTACACTATGAGCTTTTAAATAAAAGTATATGGTTGATTATGGGTTAACTAATTTGTATAAAGAAACAATCACATACTTATATACACGATGCAAATATATTCACATTTTGTCCAAATATAACATTAAGTACAAACCACACTTCTACATTAAGCACATTATTAGCACAGAGCCATCTTCACTATTTTTTATCCATGACAATAGACTTAGAAGCCCTCAAAATAACTTTTAGAAACTCAATACATCTGTTCCACATAATATATAAGACATGTATAGAATACAAGGACATTTTAAGTCACAGCTGCAGTGAGCAGCTTCCTATTCGCCCTTTATTCCTCTTAA